CTTATTTTTTTGATGTAATGACTTAATTTGTAATTGTAGAAAAAGAAGTCATATTAATTTATGTACTTTAATTTCATTTAAAGAATAGCTTCCTGCTGTGTCCTGAGTCATTATTCAAGGGTTATTTTGCATTTCATTATTTGAGGTTTTATGTATCACTCTCAAACAGTATTTTTTATTTTAACCATACATTAAATGTATAGTATGTAAATTATTTGTATATTGAGATTGTATTTTGTACTATGTTAAAGTTTGTTTATTTTGTGTAATCATTGATGTTTTTCTTTATTGCATTTCTTTGTAAAAAGTTTATGAAGTGTCTACTCTCTTTTTTGTTGTAGGATATATATTGTTGTTCTGAATTTTGGTAAATTTGTATATTCAAAGGAATTTTGATATAATTATGGTATTGAATGCTTTTTATTGGGAATTTTTCAATTAGGATAATGTATCACATTCTTTGTTTAAGGGCTCTGTTGTCTGTGTTGTGTGTAATTGTTTACAGGAGTGAGAAAAAGTTAACACTCCTTAACCAGTGTACAACTTTGAATTTTATTGGTTTGAAAGTTAAAATTAATTGTTAGCTTGAGGACAAGCCTGAAGTAGGAGAGAGAGGAAAATATGGTGTATACAAATATATATATGTAATTTAAAAACAACAAGGAGCCTGCTGGTCCAGTGAGGCCATCCTATCCACTATACTAAATCCTAAATTAAGAACAAAACACTCAAACTTCCTTACATAACTCCATGTACCACACCTGAAGGTAACTTCTTCCAAAAGCCAGCCACCCTGTTAGAAAAATAAAGCTGTGTTAGTTAAAGACAACTTCTACCATTATAAATTTCCTTAAACACCTCAGTCAGATCCCTTCTAGCTCTTCATGCATTTCTACCTTCCTGTTTTGACACAGTTATTTTCTGAATGTATAATTTATTCTATGTGTGTGTGTGTGTATATATATATATATATGCAGGTTTCACATAACACAGAGTCAACAAAGTTGGTAAAATGATGCTGTTCTAGTTGTCTTTGTTCCTTATTCTATTGAGGTCACATCCATTCTGCCTGTGGCATAATGACTGTAATTCTGGATGTTGTGCAAATATGTAGACATCAGTGTACTTCAATGGTAGTTCATGAAGACCTCAAGGTTACAGCCTCCCCTATGCTTGAATGAGAATGACCAGTTACATGGGTTGCACTAGGGCATCTGGGTAAACCTGATGTTACATGTAAAGTAAGAAATATTGAGTTTAAACAGCCTGGTAGATACTTTAGGCCTCATAAATTGAACATACTCATTCCTGAAGAAGAGACTGTCCTTTGTCCATAGGGTAAGTATACACACACACACTATTTGTGTTAGTGAATTAATAAAGGTAGCTTATTTGTAGGTAAAATTGAACCCAGTCTCTTTCTTTCATGAAGTCAGTTACTCAGAGATTCTGTACTACTTCATAATATAAATATCTTGTAGAATGCCCTATTATTAAGCTGCCCTATCCCATTGCTTTAATATAAATGCAGTTTTACCTGAATATACTACATATTTCAAGATCTCACATGACTGGTTTATTGCAGTAGCCTTAATTGTATTCTCATAAAGTTCTTATTATTAAGTGCTAATGAAAATCAAATCTCACTGAGTTGAGATTTATAAACAACCACTTACTCTGATTAATTAAATCTTAATTGTAAATGTAACTGAGGATACTTTATACAACTTTATAACTGCCTATTATTTTCAACACTCCCTATTTTGTATTGAAATGTGCATTTTTTCCGTTTTCATTTTAGGTAATGTGTTAAGTTTTTAACAGATAACGTAACTACAGTTATGGCTGTTTTATTTGTTGTTATTTTCAGGAAGTTCAAGTATCCACCACAGGTTCCATTTCTATAAGTCATAAGAAAATTACTGCATTTACTCAAACAGACTATAGTAACTTGTCTCATACTCAAAAGTTAAAAAACATAAAACAGAAGGTATGAATTACATATACCTGTATGTATATATATATATATATATATATATAAATCTGTTTAAGTTTTTTGAAAAATTAAGAAAACTGTATATTTTTACACTATATAGGGCAAAAACTTGGGACACTAAGCTACACTACCAAAAATATATTCAAACTCTTTACTATCCATGTAAACAATCCTTTCCATACCAGCTTAATATCTTTGGAAAATTGTATGTAAAGTTTTATATATAGGTGTGTGTGTGTACAGTAATACATTATATAAATAACCAACTTGTTATATTCTTGTATAAATGAATGTGCAGTATAGAATCAGTAATTTTAAAACATAATTTTGGAAAAGATTAACTAAACATTTATTATATATATATATATATATATATGTTAACGAAAATATGTATTTTGTTTAACGTATTCAACATTATTTTTATAATGCTCACAAAGTGCTAATATAAATGTTTATTAAGTCTTTTGCATTATGAGATCATAGAGTTACAAGGGATTTTGGAGGTTAAAGAAAGTGATCTACTAAGTAAGGACAGAGCAATGGCTAAAAAAGAAATGGAATTAAAAGACCTTCAGAGAAGTTATGAAACATGTCAACATCAAATATTTCAGCTTAGTACCCAGATAATTCAAAAGGATGGTGACCTTGCAGACATGAAGAAAGAGAATTCCCAACTTCAAATTCATATCAACACTCTTCTCGAAGAAGTAGAAAGTATAAAAAACTCCCAGGTAAAATTTGTCTTTGCTGTAGTTTTTCACTATATTTCTGTATGATCTATCATGATATTGATAATCTGATAATACAAGAATTTAGGAATTTCATCTCATTACAGAGCTTTTGTTTAAAAATCTGTACATGATTGTGAGAGATGGTTTACATAAGTTACATATATATATATATATATATACATTTTTGTAAACTGTGTTTTAATATTTCATTTTGCTAGAAGTAATCTGTTATGTTATCATGATGATGCAAGATCTAGAACTTTCATGTAAGTTAAAGCTACCTTGGAATCAAGAAGCTTCTTGTATTATGTTGAAATAAGAGTACTATATATAAATATCAGACTAAATGAGTAATCAATTAGTTATTCAATTCAGTGTCAGTTAGAAAGTAAGTCAATCAGTCTGTATTTGTTATCCATTGATTTGTGAGGAAATTCTTGCAAGTAAGTTTGGCTTATACGAGTTTCAGAATTTCTGCTCAAATGCTGTATGTGAAGTTAAGCTTACCAGTGAATGTAGCCTGAAGCAAACATTATTGAAGAAATAAATTAATTTGTTATTGTTACATATACTGGATTTTGCCAAATAATCTAAAAAAAACCTATCTAGTAGTAGGACACATTACAACACTATGTCGAATGTAGGATTATTCACAAAACACATTTTCCCTGCTGACACTGACATCTACTCCTCGACCTTCAGGTTTTCAATTTTGCCCATCTAAGCATTGGTCTTGCTTCCTCCAGTTTTTTTATACCCCACTTAAATGCCCTTGGCAATATTTGTGTCATGATATTCTCCACCTACATCAGTGCACCCTCTGTCCCAGTACTGTATATAAACACCTCACTCAGATAATGTAATCACTTTTTCTTAACAAAGCATTTGGTCATGTTTTTCTCAAATGCAGTGCTGTGCTTGGTTATGTAATTGATTGCAATTTTGGCATCACCTCATGGATTTTCGTATAATTATAATTTCATAAAAAAAAAAAAATTGAAACACTGTTTTTGGGCATGAATTCCCATGTTACTGTTGCCAGTGCAGAAGCTACTCAGACCTCCCTGATTCCACCTCTGTTATCTAGTGTCTCTCAACAGATGAGGATGTTCATAATTTGATTCTTTGTAAGATGGAGAAATATAATAATCGGCCCTGGGGTGTCTCTCCCGTAGGTCCTGAGGCTGCTTTTCTTGATGATCCAGGAAATTCTAGTGGGAATTTGGATTTGGTTTTTCAAGCGCCTTACTTTACTAGGTTGGCTTCTCATAAGGCCAATTTGGATCGACCACCTCCTTTTCCTTTTCTTCAATTAGTTACTCGGGTTTGTAAGGTTTTGGGGCTTTGCCAGGTTGCCTTTGAGTCTACACCTTCCTTGATAGCAGAAAGGTTGGGGGGACTACTTAGTGTCTCCTCTTTCACTTGATACTGCTGTTCATGCTGGGAGGTTTACCCCTCAGTTACATGAGGGGATACCTATGTCTTGTCCCCCACATTTGTTGGAACAGTATGCTTTGGCTTATCACATATATTTAGATTCATAAAGGCTGGATCTCCTTTTGGACATGTGGGGTTCCAGACTGGAGACTGTGATCAGTTTGAACAGATCACAATTTTCTTTCATTCGTCTGACCCTCACTACTGTTGTGAGATATTTATCTTTTCTCCAACTTTTGTCTGAAGCCTCTCAGCATTCCCCACATCAATTTGTGGATGAAATGGCTCCTTTGGTGACTTTCACAATGATTGGATTATCAGCTTCTGCTCTCTCTCTGGTTTCCTGGCTTGTGTGTTGTTGGAACTTATTGGGCAGAGATGTCTTGTTGGAGGGAGTTCGTCTACCTGCTGCCACACTTTCTGAGTTACAGGAGACTCCTTTTCTCCATCCATTGTTGTTTGCAGGTGTTCCAGAGGTGTTGAAATTGAGGATTGATGTCACGCCTTCAGTTTTTCGATCTCTTGGTACTCACAATAGATTCCATTTTTATCTTCGTGACTTCTCCTCTCGGGCGGACTGGCACCAACAACATCGGTGACTGTCCTATGCTGGTAGGGTATGTGCGTGTGCAGTTACATCATTTTCTTCACCACAGTTCCATGGGTCTTCCAGGTTCTGGCATTGGGGTTGGTCATTCAGTTCACATCTCCATCTCCTTTATCCTCCTGACCTGTGGCGTTTCTGCCTCCAACAGATCTGCAGAGTGTGGCTCTTTGTTTTAGAGCTGTAAGGGACTTGTTGATCAAGGAGGTGTTAGAGAGAGTTGATCCCATTCTTTTGGGATTTTAATCCTGTCTCCTTGTTGTGGCCCAAAAGATGGGAAATTGGTGTCCAATCATCGATCTTTCTGGTCTCAACCAATTCTTGGACCTTCCTTGGTTATCATGGAGTCCTTTCTCAGCCTACAATGACATTTTTCAACACCTCTCTGGATGACCAAGTTTGATGTTGCCGATGCATACCTTCACTTTCCTGCAGCTAAGTCATCCCACTGATTTCTACGTTTTGTGTAAAAGGGTCATGTTCTGCAGTTCAGAGCTCGGCACTTTGGCCTAGCATCTGCACCATATGTCTTCTGCATAGTGATACAAGTGGATGATAGTTACTTCTAGCACCATCTTGTCAAATGGCAGAACAGCACACCCAATGCTGGGTTTCATATTAGAACAAAGATATCCATTCTATTGCCGACTCAATACATTGTCCATTTGGGGGTCTTTTTCAACATGTATTTTAGTCTGGCTCAGCCAATTCCCATTCGTCTCCAGGCTAAGGATGAAACAGTTAGACTCTTACATCTCCTTCTCCTACTGCATGGATGGCTCTCTCTCTCTTGGGGATGTGGACATCCCTCAAATCTCTCGTGCCTTTGGTATGGGCACACATGCAGTCCTTTCAGTGGTCATTGCACAGCCTATGGAACATGACCTCTGATCCAATGGATCATCCAATATCCTTACTCAGGAGCAACATAATATATCTCGAGTGGTGGTTCTCTCCTGCCCCTAGTCCTGAAATTCATCTTTTCACAGATGCCTCACTTAAGAGATGAGAGGCATATATCAGTGGTCAGGAATTCCAGGGTCTATGGAGAGACAACAGATCTTCCCTCCACATCAACATTTTAGAGCTCTTTACTGTTCAATGGGCATTGGTTCATGGTCTGCCTCTCTTGAAAGGGAAATAGTCATGATTCATTTCGACAATTTGATGGTGGTGTCTTACATTTCTCTTCAAGGGAGCACATGTTCTCAGAACCTTTGTTTTCAGACTTTGGATGTTCTCTACTTGGCACATTTCCATCTATTCAGCCTCCTAGCTTGCCAAGTTCTGGGGGTGAGGAATTTAGTTGCAGATCATCTGTCTTGGCCCACCCACAATATCCCGATCCAAATGGACGCTACATCATGAGGTCTTCTGGTGGATTTGCTCATGGTTCAGATCTCAAATGATCGACATGTTTGCCAGTCATTGGAACTCTCAATTACAAGCTTTTGGGTCCTCAGTACCTCATCCTTGGGCTTTGGTAATAGATGTATTCAGTTGGGACTGGACAGGTTTGCACCTATATGTCTCCCCCCCCCCCCCAATTCATCTGTTGTTCAGAGATCTAGCTATGGTTTGATCCACTCCTTGTCAGATGTTGTTGGCTGCCCCATATTGGTCAGCATAACCATGGTTTCCTCTTATTCAGTATCTTCAATGAGGGTCTACCTCTTTGGCCACGTCTGTTGCAGCAACCTCAATCTGACATTCTACACCCGTACATTCTGAAGTTTAAACTTCATGCTTGAATGTTATGTGGTCCTTTGCATTACATTGGGGTTTAACTTCTAAAGTTGCTTTCTATTTGGCTCAATCCCTCTGTAGACCCACAATGGCTGTTTATCAATATAAATGGTACACTTATCGCCAGTGGTGTCACAACAGGAAATTAAACCCACTTCATCAAACTGTTTCCACCATATCCCTTTTGTTTTACCTGGCTTTTTGAAAAAGATCGTGCTTCGTCTACTGTCACCTTATATAAGGCAGTCTTGTCGACCACTTTTCAGTGTTAGAAACATAGGAAGATTTTTAAGTACCCTGTTCTATCCAGCCTACTTAACCCTTTTTGTGTTCTTTGTCCCAAAAGGCCTTTTCTTTTGCCTAACTGGGATATTAAAGTGGTATTGCATGCTTTGTGTTGTCATCCCTTTGAGCCTTTAGCATCATGTTCTGTGTATCACCTTTCTCTTAAAGTGTATTTTATGTTGTTACTGACATATAGATATCATAGGACTTGTTTGCACTGCATATGCACAGGACTCTTTACCATTGTACCTATGTCCTGCTCTATCTGGATAGATCCTTCCTTTCTAAGACTCAAGCAGCCAGGGAAGGGGATAAATTCTTTTCACCAATTCACTAATGGGCTATTTCTCACCTTTACAGCTGCTTAGATCTTGATTATTTGTTATGTGGCTTGCACTAGCACCTTTTGTGGTGCTAGAAACTGACTTTTAATTCATTTGGATCCTTCGGTTTCCTACGATTTATGCCCTATTACCTTGATGAGGTGGCTTCGCAAATTGATCCATATTGCTTGTTCTGGCCTATTTTTACTGGTGAGGAATATACTGCAAGTCACATTACTTACATGATCTGGCAGTTTCTTCTTCTGAGGATTTTTCCTACCCCTGGTGACTGTGTTGACCATATCTGCTAAATTATAATGAGGGATGAGTTGTTTTTTTCTTTTTTCTTCCTTTCTGCTGGTTTTTTTTTTTCCAGCTAAAGGGGATCCTGCCCATTCCTGCCAATTATCGGGTTGAATAAATCAAGGTCAGCTTGCTTTTAAAAAATTAGGGAAATTGTTTCACGTATTGCACTGTTTCCAGAGCACTGTTCCTCAGGGTTCCCCAGTGTGCATTATCTCCCAGATTCTACTAGTGATGCTAGAGAGTCTTTACAACACCCAGTTTTCCAGTCACTGGGTGGTGGACAGAGGTTTTCCTCCAGA